CTTCCCTTTTGATTTTTTTTTTGGTTTTTTTTACCTTTTTTTTTTTTTTTGTGTACACGTCTCTTTAAACATGGCCTCTTGGTTCTCACTTCCCTGCTGTCTTGTTTTCTCCGTTTCTGCACTTTTCGGCCTCTTTAATGGCTGGAGTCATCTGCTAACTCAGCTTTGTAATGGACGATGACTAAGCAAATATTTATTTTTAACACTCAGTCAGGGCATTGTGTGGGAACGGGGCTTTCAGGGTCATAAAGACATTATATCTCAATGGTCTCAAAGTCGCTGTGAAGTTACAAGACATCAGTTAAATCATTTTTACTTCTTCAGAGCATCACTTTTATTGCAGAAGGATAGGAAAATAGTTTCCGTAGTGACGGGAATCTTTACCAAGACACAATGAATGTAATTCTTCTACAGTGTGACCTTTCAGATTCAGCTAGCTTCTTGAGCTTTCTAGGTCATTCCTTCATACCTTTGGGTTAATTAATGGCTTAATTTTGCTTCTGTTTGTGATTCACAACTGCTGTTGGTGGCTGTAACCCCATTTGGCTCTGAAATGCTTAACATTTAATCAGAGGAATGTCTCAGACATGGTGGGTTTTCCGTGATGAATAGGGGCTTGAGAATGTATTTGTGGCCCTGTCGTTCACTCACCACCACAAATAGTGACTCATACTTAACCTTTACACAATAAATGAGCTTTATTGTCCACCCATTCTGCTGTTCTGGTGCTCACTAACTGGGTTTAGGAAGAATTATATTATTTTATTTTGTTTTAATTTGTTTTCACTTTCTGTGCTCTGCTTTGCTGATCAAGAGTGTTTTTGGACTGTTTTTCTGCAATGTTGCTAAAGCCTTAGGATTAGTATTGCATTAATGTCATTTTTATTATGATGCATGATCATGGCGGTTCATTTACATTCAGTGCCCTAAACATTGTGCACCCCAAACTGGGGGTATGTACTCGTCCTTGTTGTCTTAATAAGTTTATTCCACACACAGGCTCACATTGGTCATGATCGGTCAAAGAATGGGCATTTCAACAATGGTCAGGTAATCTACTGGTCTACCGTGACCCAAACACCTGACAGTCACAGCTGACAATCTCACAGTTTAGCTTATTGGAATGGGTGGGTGGATTGAAGGCTTGTGATTGGCGGTTCATACATTAATACACTCATGCTGACTTTGACTTTTGACCTAGGGTCTGACGAGATGCGCATGACAATCGCATGCGATTAATTGCACAGCCCCATTTTGACCCTCACTCATTGCCCATTTCCTGCTCTTCACTTGGTTGGTTGTCAGGTTTTTCCCATTTGAAGTGACGTTTTTGAAATTAACACTGCCCTTACTACTGTATTTCCTTCTTTTTCTCTTTCTCATACATTCACGTTCATTCATTCTTCTTGGGTTATACAGGTGTGTATTTATCCTCATCTTTGTGGTTTTCCTTGCCAAGTCCTGCTAAAGTCAGTCACTGTTTCGCAGCCAAATCTCTGAATTACTATTTTTTTTTCTGATATTTTAATTTCTTCTCGCTTTCTCTCTGTTGTTTCTCTTTTTTTATACAGACCAGAGATGACTTCCTTGGGCAGGTGGATGTGCCTCTTACCCATTTACCGGTAAGCTTATGTGCTCTTATGTTGCTCAAGTAAATATCTGGTTTGCTGTTGTAGTTTTAGTAGCAAGTTTTAGCTCTGAACTGAAAAGATTGAAGTTATTGAGGGTCACATGACTGTAATTAAGCAACTCAAATGTTGGAGCCCATATCCCTGTACGGAGTGGAAAGGGAATTGCTTGGAATGTAAACACGCAGGCTACTTCTGAGAGGGCTATCCCAACTAAAAAAAATCTCTCTGCCAAAAATGGGACATGCTTCCAGGGTGGCCCAGTTTAGCCCCTACCACAACATTATTCAATAATGCAATAATGTCTGGTCAGTTCAGCATTCCATTCATGTGTAAATTAATTTTATGATGTGGAATACTTGCCCCACATACAGCTTTTCTCCCATTGTGGTACTTTTTGGATTTACAGTCTTAAAATTGTATAATTTAAATTGGTGTTTCTGATTTTTCAGTGTTTACTATTTGATCTCTTTAAAAAGTTTATGTATGTGTGTAAGACTCCACATTTTACTTGGAGAATGTGGGATGTGAATAAGTAATGTTATCAAGCTGCATGCATGCTGATCAGCTACACTTATATAATTATGCACAAAAAAAGTGAAACAGTGACAAAATAAGAGTAGTAAGAGAATATAAATGTTTTATGTGTGTGAAAAATATGTAAATTATTAATGTAAATAAGTATTAATAATTATTATAATAATTATAATTAAGTATCATTAATGCAAATAATATAGAAATATAAAGAAAATGTATATTGATAATATAATTATGTAAATTATAAATACATATTTGTTATTAATAATTAATATTATATAATATTTTTTTTTACTTTTATATTTTTGTCTAAAGTGTTTTTAAAAAATATTTAGTTTGAAAAACAGTATAAATGTGTTTTCAAATGTAAATACATTTTGTGCTTTAAAAATGTGTAATGTATTTGTAAGTTATACATTACATTTTGTAATTAAATTTTCAAAAAAAAAATTGTTTGAAAAATAATATAAATATTTAAATATTTACGGTTTAGTACAGTAATAAATATTTAGTACTTTATTGCTTCAAAATCATCCAAACCACACAACGTCTCAAAAAATATAGGTGTTGGCAAGTTTTGTGCTTGACAAAATCATTGGTTTTCAATATGGTATTTTGTTCCAGTTTACTTGTTTTGAGAAAGAGATCGTTTTCCTGGACATTTAGGAATGGAACAGCTCTTGGTTTTATTTAAAGGTGACATATTATGCCCCTTTTTACAATATGTAATATAGGTCTCTGGTGTCCCCAGAATGTGTATGTGAAGTTTCAGTTCAAAATACTCCACAGATCATTTATTATATAATTTTGAAAATGCCTATTTTGAGTGGGAGCAGAAACGAGCTGTTTTTCGGGCCTGTGTCTTTAAATGCAAATGAGCTGCTGCTCCCCGCCCCCTTTTCCAGAATAGAGCTGCGCCTTTACAGCTCGTATCTGCTAAAAACATCTGTTTTGGTTTTGATTATCATGTTTATCGCTCTGAAATCATGCGTTTTAAACCATACGAGTTTAAACTTCAGATATACGTTTTTCTGAGCGCACGCATCTGAAGCACGCGGACAGAAAGCTGCTGTCACGGCATGTGAGTACTAATCTAAGTTCTCATTCACACACAAGTTTACGTTAAAAACACACATGAGTTACAAAAACAGTCGGTTATGTCTGTGAAGGTAAACAGCTGGGAAATAAATCGCTTGTTTATTTTAGATCTGTGTGGCAGCAGCAGTTGTTCTCTCATTAGTGGTATGTGTTAATCATCACTGTTTTCTCCATTTTATTTCTTTTCCCATGCAGCAATCAGCCATATTGAGCATCCTCACATTCTGCCCAGAGCTCAAGCACCTCAACCTGGGAAGCTGTGTCATGGTGAGTCCACTGGTCAGTTGAACTGATATGTAGTTGGTTTGTGGCTTAATCCCAGTTCACAGATTATAATGGTATTTATTAAAAACAATGGTCAGCATAAAAAAGACTTTACAAAGTAATGTTTTAGCATTATGAGAATAAAGTCTATTTTTTGTAATGAAAGAGTGGGTGCGACCATGTTTAACTTAATTAGTACGTATAAAGCACCTATTCTGTATGACCATATTTTATATCCCTAATACTGGGCTGTGCAATTAATCGCATGCGATTGTCATGCGCATCTCATCAGTAAAGCCGGTTCCTTGATTGGTAGTAAATCGCCATCACCTGCTTTCAGATGGAGCGGCATTTAATACATAGAGCCGTAGTTCACTGACAAGCTAGGCAACATCGCGTTCATAATCACAGATGAATCGCATTCGATTATGAACGCGATGTTGCCTAGCTTGTCAGTGAACTACGGCTCTATGTATTAAATGCCGCTCCATCTGAAAGCAGGTGATGTAGATTTACTACCAATCACGGAACCGGCTTTACTGACGAGATGCGCATGACAATCGCATGCGATTAATTGCACAGCCCCATTTTGACCCTCACTCATTGCCCATTTCCTGCTCTTCACTTGGTTGGTTGTCAGGTTTTTCCCATTTGAAGTGACGTTTTTGAAATTAACACTGCCCTTACTACTGTATTTCCTTCTTTTTCTCTTTCTCATACATTCACGTTCATTCATTCTTCTTGGGTTATACAGGTGTGTATTTATCCTCATCTTTGTGGTTTTCCTTGCCAAGTCCTGCTAAAGTCAGTCACTGTTTCGCAGCCAAATCTCTGAATTACTATTTTTTTTTCTGATATTTTAATTTCTTCTCGCTTTCTCTCTGTTGTTTCTCTTTTTTTATACAGACCAGAGATGACTTCCTTGGGCAGGTGGATGTGCCTCTTACCCATTTACCGGTAAGCTTATGTGCTCTTATGTTGCTCAAGTAAATATCTGGTTTGCTGTTGTAGTTTTAGTAGCAAGTTTTAGCTCTGAACTGAAAAGATTGAAGTTATTGAGGGTCACATGACTGTAATTAAGCAACTCAAATGTTGGAGCCCATATCCCTGTACGGAGTGGAAAGGGAATTGCTTGGAATGTAAACACGCAGGCTACTTCTGAGAGGGCTATCCCAACTAAAAAAAATCTCTCTGCCAAAAATGGGACATGCTTCCAGGGTGGCCCAGTTTAGCCCCTACCACAACATTATTCAATAATGCAATAATGTCTGGTCAGTTCAGCATTCCATTCATGTGTAAATTAATTTTATGATGTGGAATACTTGCCCCACATACAGCTTTTCTCCCATTGTGGTACTTTTTGGATTTACAGTCTTAAAATTGTATAATTTAAATTGGTGTTTCTGATTTTTCAGTGTTTACTATTTGATCTCTTTAAAAAGTTTATGTATGTGTGTAAGACTCCACATTTTACTTGGAGAATGTGGGATGTGAATAAGTAATGTTATCAAGCTGCATGCATGCTGATCAGCTACACTTATATAATTATGCACAAAAAAAGTGAAACAGTGACAAAATAAGAGTAGTAAGAGAATATAAATGTTTTATGTGTGTGAAAAATATGTAAATTATTAATGTAAATAAGTATTAATAATTATTATAATAATTATAATTAAGTATCATTAATGCAAATAATATAGAAATATAAAGAAAATGTATATTGATAATATAATTATGTAAATTATAAATACATATTTGTTATTAATAATTAATATTATATAATATTTTTTTTTACTTTTATATTTTTGTCTAAAGTGTTTTTAAAAAATATTTAGTTTGAAAAACAGTATAAATGTGTTTTCAAATGTAAATACATTTTGTGCTTTAAAAATGTGTAATGTATTTGTAAGTTATACATTACATTTTGTAATTAAATTTTCAAAAAAAAAATTGTTTGAAAAATAATATAAATATTTAAATATTTACGGTTTAGTACAGTAATAAATATTTAGTACTTTATTGCTTCAAAATCATCCAAACCACACAACGTCTCAAAAAATATAGGTGTTGGCAAGTTTTGTGCTTGACAAAATCATTGGTTTTCAATATGGTATTTTGTTCCAGTTTACTTGTTTTGAGAAAGAGATCGTTTTCCTGGACATTTAGGAATGGAACAGCTCTTGGTTTTATTTAAAGGTGACATATTATGCCCCTTTTTACAATATGTAATATAGGTCTCTGGTGTCCCCAGAATGTGTATGTGAAGTTTCAGTTCAAAATACTCCACAGATCATTTATTATATAATTTTGAAAATGCCTATTTTGAGTGGGAGCAGAAACGAGCTGTTTTTCGGGCCTGTGTCTTTAAATGCAAATGAGCTGCTGCTCCCCGCCCCCTTTTCCAGAATAGAGCTGCGCCTTTACAGCTCGTATCTGCTAAAAACATCTGTTTTGGTTTTGATTATCATGTTTATCGCTCTGAAATCATGCGTTTTAAACCATACGAGTTTAAACTTCAGATATACGTTTTTCTGAGCGCACGCATCTGAAGCACGCGGACAGAAAGCTGCTGTCACGGCATGTGAGTACTAATCTAAGTTCTCATTCACACACAAGTTTACGTTAAAAACACACATGAGTTACAAAAACAGTCGGTTATGTCTGTGAAGGTAAACAGCTGGGAAATAAATCGCTTGTTTATTTTAGATCTGTGTGGCAGCAGCAATATACAGTAGCCTAAATAAATCAATAAATCCACTGCTCTCTTGTCTCCTCTGAGGCTGGGACTCTAAACAGTGTGCTCGTCTGTGCAGCCAAAGGCAGAACAGTTAGCATGTTTTGCTCAAACCTTCGC